AGTGCTGCATTGCATATACGAGTCTCAGAGCATGATTTCATATGTATCAAAGGCAATGTTTATTTAAAGCGAGTAAAACCAGTTTTGGCAAGAGCTTGAAATTTGCAAACCTAATCAGATTAAAATTAGGACATGTAGCGTGTTTAAACACAAACTAACCCGTCAGATGCCGCCTGGTCTCCTTATCACGGCTGCTATTCAGTACAGTAGGAATCAAAGACAAGCCTGCGTTTTCCTTAACTTTAAGCTTATTTTCATTGTTCTCATAAACAGCATTACGCAGCGCCCCGGCAGTGGCATGCTGCACTTCTTCGCTGTCATTGTTAAGAAGACGCATGAGCTTCTCAATCCCATTCACACGGCAAATCTGGAGAAAAAAGAAAAAGCAAGAGTGGACCAACGATTGACAAATTCATGTATCAGGATTTATAACCGCTTAACACATAAAATACCTGTGATTAAACATACCTTGCCTCTAGCAATGGCACTCTTGAAACATTGATTTTGTATGAAACTGGTTGCAAAGATCAGTTTTTCCTCTTCATTCTGGGTCAAAAGCTGCACAGCCTTCTCCATTGTCATCATCTGAGTCTTGCTTACTGACGTCCTGTGTGAAAATCCACAAATGTTTCAAAATGTAGATTATCAATACAGGATCATATTGAAATAATGAATGTGCAGAACAAAGGTCTTACAGTTTTGTGACATTCTGCGCGTGCATCTGCTTAATGGGTAACTGCGTTGCTGCCCGCCTGCCAGCATCCGTCTCCACACTGCTGACAGAGGGCGGGTATGAGTTCACTCTAAGGGATTTATGGTGGCCCCTTTCCGTCTTCTGCTTTAGCCCGAACATGCCATCCTTAGGCTGGATAGAACTAAACATGGTGTCACCATTTCTTCTCTGCATTTTTTTTGTGAAAGTTGGTTTCACAGTACTTTGTCTGTAAGTCCACTGAGAACCATATTCTCCATTCTTCCGAAATGCAGCATTTGCAGGTACAGATTGCAATCCTAAGATCTGTCTAAACGTCCTTTGCTGGACGTTCCCTCGTGCAGGTGTGTATGCACATCTCTGTGTGCTATGAGGTAAATCTGAAAAAACATGGTGGTGAAAGGAAGCCGACTTTGCCAAGTGAGTGCCAACTTTGGGTGAATGACTTGGTCCTGAGGGGGTGGGCATCCCAGAATAAGTACTGCATTTAAAGGTCCTATGAGGTTGCTCTGGGATTGACTGAGGGGACACTTCCAGCCTCTTGGATGGTTTGCGCTCATGGTCGCCAGAGAAGGAGTGACTGGAGAAGGGCGATCTATTTACCTGTGAGAAGGAAAAACAAAAACAGCTTTAATGCACTGGCCTGGTTACCCTGCTCTTTCACTGTATGGGACTTTGTACTTCCATATATATACTTGGATGTCATTATAGTCAGAAATACACAGCACAGCAACTACTTGTGCAAAAGGTCATTATGATGTCTTGGTAACCCCACCCCAATGCATTTATCACTGTGCACGAGTGAACAGAACAAACTTTAGCACAAAGGAATACTGATGTGGTTTGAAAATGTATGACTTATTCCTTTAATGCGTTATTGTCAGAAACAGCTCCATATGTTGTATATAAAGAGAAACATTATAGTCCACAATTAAAATCTATAGTAACTGCCTATTTACGCAAGCTGCTGCTACATGTTTTTCTTTATAATAGGTTGAAAATACAGAAGTCATAGACCCATATACTTTTGTTAAAATGACCAACTTTAAACAAGACATAAGAATGTTCATAGACTCTTGGATTCATTTATTATTTTAATTTATTTGTTTGTTTGTTTGTTTAATTTTAGCTCAGCTTTTTAAATTGTATGAGTGACAAAGTTAGTATTTGGGGTATGGCCTCGATGACTCACAGTGTCACTCATCAGCTAGGATTTATCTCAGTGAATCTGAGTCACTGAACTGGAACTCTGATGTTAGAGTCACACAAGACTCACAAACTAGTACAAGTATAATTGAGACTTTACATTCAGAGTTCAGCTAGAAACTTACAGATCTGAAACAGAAATTTTAAAATTCCTCCACAAATCATGACGTCCATCTGCAACATGACAATCAAACAATTCAACTGGTCTTCTTTTGCTAGTTTCCAAGTCTTTTTAATACCCTGAGCCATAATGCGATTTATGTGATAAGTAATATGTTTTGATGTGCAGTTCATTAAACTAATAGTCTGTTCAGGAAGTCTGTGCTCCAGTTCTGATGAGTAAAATGCTAATATTTTATTTGCATGACACTTAGCATTGGTGTGTAACATAGCACTT